GGGGGGGGGGGGGGGGGGATTAACTTACAGCACAGCATTTTGAAAGGTATACAATCCTCGAAAAATACAAATATTAATTAAGACACGAACATAAAGAGAGCGATCCTGCTAATTATGTCACTCCTGGTAAATGTCTGAAAACTGAACGAAAACATCTCTCCGGCTAGGAAAGCTGTCGGCCTACAGATAATGATTAAATTAGAACCATCTGGTCAAAGAAATGCTGGGGTAGTGACGTTGTTACATAGATAATTATGTATTCTCAGTAAGATCTTAAAGTCAATACATTTTCGTTTAATTGACGATGTCAGCTAAGATTTGTAAATATTCATTTAAGTAAAACCAAACCATATATACTTCTTACTTACATAAGTGTGTGTGTGTGTTTTCATCCATATTTCTAACTTAAATCGTTTAATTTCTGTAAAATTTTAATAAATACTTTAAGGACAGCAATCAAGCTATGCAAATGAAATAGCAAAATGAGGTATGTTGAAGCTTAAATTCAAGCTTGAACATGCCTCGTTTTGCTATTTTATGTAAAATTGTAAGTCCTTTTGTACATTTATATTTTCTCATCCCATGGCAGACTGCACGGAGCACAGCTGCATTTTCTTAACATCATATATTAATGTAGCGTCATTAGCTACACAACTTGATTTTTTTTAAAACTTAATCGCAATTAAAATTTTGGGGGAAAACTATCATACATTTTATTGACTGTTCCCCTCACCAAACTCAGCGTTATTTCAAAACATGTCTACATTCCATTCAAAGAAACTTTATTTAGTTTAGAGTTTGACCTCCAACTGTCCAACGATCTGAAACCGGGTTAATTGCCCAAGGCCTGGACAAACTGGCCCAATCAGCCATCGGTACCTTGTGTGTCTGCGAGAAGTAATAGGACGCTCAGGGCGTAGACCTACACAGGGTCACCGGCGGCTCCAGGAGCACCGAGGAACATGGTCCTACGCGAGAACAGGTCGAGGGCTGTGAAAATTTCATCACGTGGGGTCGCTTCACCTTCCGGGTTCTTTCCCTTAAACAAGATGACATTTGCCTTGTGTGACATCGCTAAAGGGCCCCCCCCCACTCCATACTGGTGCGATGGACCAAAATATTGACACAATCCACCCTAGTGGCCGCTCAAATTCCATTTCGGGCAGGAGAATCATGTCTGGCGCCCGAGGAAAAATTGCCTAAGTGTCCTAACGGCCTGTCTATTACTGTGTACGCGTGGATTACTTCGTGTTTTCGGGGCAGCTGCACGTACTCTTTATGAAAGCTTGGTTTATTCCATCCGCCCGCCATCTTGTGCTCCACTCGTGGGGAAGATCTCGCGGCTAACGAGGACATTAGAGGGTGGCCTGAGTGAAGGGGAGGGCGGCCAGACGCTAATGAGACAGAAACAAGTCACTGAAGTAGCTGGGAACGTCCCCGGCGCTAAACTGAATTTCTCCAGATCGAGGTTGACCAAATGAGGAGAAATTGCCCCCAATACAACAGCGCCTTGTTCACTTCCGGACGGTGACACGGGAAATGGCCGGCGTCTCAAGAGAAAATAATCCATACAGGTTTTCGGGACGATTGGGTAGATTGTGGAAAACAGACCGCGCGTTGTCCTAGAGTCCTAGGGTCCTGTCGTATCAGTCGATGCCGTGTAGGACTCCCTTCTAGAATCATCGCGCCCGCCGTCTGGCTGAGGGGGGCGTGAGTCAATCAGGTGTAGACGTGAAGAAACTGCCAAGTGGGGCGCTGAGGGCTCCCAGAAGACGTAATGGGTTAGTCCATTAATGGAAGCTGTCTCCCCCCAGCCACAATGGGTGTAATCTTGTTAGAGAAGAGGTGACAGAGTATTGGATCCACCTCGTGAGGAGTTCCAACCCCCCCCCCAACCCCACACCCCTTATACACCCGAAGAATGCGAGATAAGTTAAAGGAGGTAGCGGTTAAAATAGATCAATGTCAAATTAACCCTGAAACATTCTCAGAGGAAGGCTTCGATTTCATCGAGATTTCTTTTAAGTGGTTTAAGGTGAAAGTGAGATTTCATCATTTCATTAAAATCATTTCTTTAATATGTGTATAGTTGTTACAGTTATTTTTGTGTATGTGTATTCGTCATTGTTGTGGATGATGATGACGATGATTGGGTACTTTTATAGCGCTCGTGTCCAGCTATTTTAGCATGCTCACAGCGCTCTGATGCCCTAAAGTATATGTCAAGAAAAAATTCTTTAAATTTTTCTTAAATTACTTTTTATCATTTTCAATTTCCATCAAAGGTTGAAGCAAACTGTTGTATAATTTAGGCCCAACAGCTTCAAAAGAGGGAGGGCACTCCGTATGACTTCTTTCTGTGTCCATCCATAATGGCAAATCTTGCCTTTCAGTGTCAGATCTTTGTGCTATTATAATCCGTGTCATTGTTGTTCTTGCCTTTCAGTGTTAGATCTTTGTACTATAATATTGTTGTTCTTGTCTGTCAGTGTCAGATCTTTGTGTTATAATAATCCGTGCCATTGGTGTTCTTGATTGTCACTGTCAGATTTTTGTGCTGTAATAATCCGCGGTACATCCATGGGATTGCACATACTTGGCGGCTTAGCACATTTTGTGTAATACATTCAATATGTATTCCATTTTTATGTATTCCTTTCTGTATGTATTTCATTCTCTATTGATTAAATTATTAATGAATTACGTAATTTATATTTTACAGCAAATTAAAACCATTATAGCACTGGCTATTTTATGTTTGTTGTCAAACAGTAATATCAAAGTAAATATTACATATACAAGATGTGGGATTCGTCTGTCCGTTTGACTGTTTCTCTGTATTTCTGGTGTCTTTCTGAATCGCCCGTCCATTTGTGTACCTATCTGTCGGTAATTCTGCCTTTTACTTGTAAAGTTAAAATATTGGTCCATTGTTTATCCAGAGTGTGTTAAAATCAAACATTTTGGACTAAATTTTCTCCCTCCATTTGAAGATATAACAACTTACTTTGCTTAATTTGTTTTAGCAACTCTCTCGCCCCACCCACCCCACCCCCCTCCCCCACGATAATACACAGAAGAGTCAACAGAAGGCTATAGTATAGTGCTCTAGTTTCTCGTCATTCACAATGTAGTTTTACTCAAAGTTTTGTCTCCGCTCATTTAATACAAGTATTGTATTTGTATCTGAAGTTGTTTTTTTCCAAGGCTATGAAATTAATTTCCTATCTTCATTTGTTTGTTCCTTAAAACATCAGTTATGTCAAGGTGCCTTGATGACCGTGCAATACCTCCCTTGAATTACTAGATCGATAAAAGTCGATATATTTATTTTTTTTAACTATAACATATCACATATTTTTTAGACGTGTCAAATTCGGAGACTTTATTTACCATCTAGTAATCGCCTCTCCTTAAAAAAAAAAAAAAAAAAAAAAAAAAAAAAAAAAAGTTAAATAGTAAGAATAATAATGGCAGCAACGTGGTTCTTACAAATACCCCAAAATGAGACAGCCTAAAAAAAAATATCGTTATAAGACATTACAAAAAAAAATAAAAAGACAAGCTCTAAAAAAAACAGCTAAAATATTGCAAGCCCAGCTAAGCTTTAAATCAAGCCCACTTCCAAGCCTTTTATTCCCTGCTGTCTCCGGGAAGTTGTGTTCACGGCTTAACGTGTTTAGTAGAACAATGGCTCCGGTTTTCTTATTCAATCTGAGACAACCTCAATTTCTCCCCGTCGACACTTCTGGCCGGTGCGCGCGGGAGAAAGAGGACGGCATTATGTTTTAGCTTCGTGCAAAATGAGCTTTCCGACGGGGGCCCCCGAGATATTATTAT